CCGAGCGGCCGCTCCGCTCTTGTCCGGCGGGCTCCGCCGCCCGAGCGCCCAGGGCCCTCTCCGCACGGGCCTCCTGACGCGTTAAGAGCCTCCTTCAGGGCGCACCTCGCTGCGTCCGTGGGTCACTGCAGGAGCCGTTCACACATCGCGTACCTTCAACTTTGCCATTTAATTGGTAACTTCTGCTCACTTTTTAATATTTATGCTCTCAGACTGCTGCTTAAATGCAGCTGAAAGCGTGCATTTGACCAGGAGCCTTGCTACCAGGAGCAGTCTTGTAAAGCTAACCTGCTGTGACACATCCCAGATGTTTTTCTTTTGTCTAGCAGTAGTCGCATAAGGTAGCTCAAACTGAAAGCGTGGAAGTGTGATTTCTAAGTGCTTGTGCTGTAATGAAATGATTTATTGTAAATTTGTGGAAAATGCAAACTTACTGCATGACTTGATCCAGCCACAAAATTTGCCTTTCTTAAATAACAAAATAGATACACTAATACCATCCTTTGGTTTTGGCACCCCCTGCTTTTTCCTGCAGTACCAGTGGGTATGCTCCTGTTTGAAGAGCTTTGTGTTTTAGTGATAACAGATTGTGTTACAGGTAGTGACATCTGCTTTAGCCAGAGATTTGGCAGTAGTATCACTAATTTTTGTGTGTGAGGTTCTAATATCTGACTCAAAAGACTCTAAAACTCTGCAGGTTGTTTGAACCTGTCGCTACCTGGTTGTTTCTCTTTTTTTATATTGGGAAAAACAGGTTTTTGTTTGTTTGTTTTTTGGAGATCTGTGATTTAACTGTAAAATAATTCTTTGAACTGAAACTTTGGATCATTCCTCTTCACTTTTCGTCTGTAACAGTGATTTTTTTGAGCATTTATTAATGTAAAAACTAAACATCTGACTGAATCAAACTTGGCTAAATGTTCTGTTAAGCCCTCTTCCAAATCAGCACGCTGTTGGGTTTTTTCTTAACATACTCAAATATTCTAGGTATTCTGTAAATAGTTATGCAAATATTAGCTTTTATGTTTAGCAAAAATGAATGTAAATGACACCTTGAGATACTGAGTCCCTTTTACCCTGCTCATGGGCAGGAAGTCCTGGAACATGTGTTCCCAGGGTGTTTTGCAGGCAGACAGGAGCTTTCATCTTCTGTATCCCAAACCAGCTGGGTGTAGCTAGCCTTGAACTGGAAGAGACTGTAGCTGAGGCTGGGATGGCACTGAATCAGAGCAAGTAAGCTGCAGTGAGAGGCGGAGTGCACTAATTTGCACTCCTTCCTCTGATGAGGAGGCCCTGCCATTTCAGGTGTGGAACAGGCTCATCCGCTTACTTGACGCTAGTGGAGGGAGCGTTTAACTGTGAAAGGCTGTAGACGGATCTCACTCCATCAGTTTCCAAGTCCTATTCTCCTTATCTATCCTTTACCGCTTCTCCAACGAAGCTTCAAAAAAAGGCTGCTGCTTGTCACTGTTCTGCTGCATGGGGATAACAAAGGAAAGGTAGCCAAAATTCTTTGGGGACAAAAGTATATTTCTAGCTTCATACCTGAAAACAGGTGAATCCTTTCTGCTGACAGTTTCCAAAATATGTTTCCTCCTTGTAGGAAAGTTCAGCCAGAAGTTTGGCAAAGTTACAAGCAAGAAAGATCTTTAAATATGTGCTAGGTGACTGTAATAGATGCAGATTCCAGGCTCATTTATCACTGTGGTTATTCTTCCCTAGTGCTCTATCTCTTTCCTCCTTTTTTTCATGATATAGAATTAGCAGCTTCTGAATTATACACTGTAAATACACTACAGCTTGCTTATTCTTACAGCTTGCTTAATTTCCAAGATTGAGCAAGAGGCATATCAAAACAGCATGTGTGCATTTCTTGTTATGGTGAAAAGGAAACTAAGAATTATACTTCTTGTTGATCTCTAGAAGAAAGAGAAATCTCCCATCATATTGCAAAGATAATCATTTTCCTCTCTTATAATTTGTCTCAGGAGTGGGGTTTTTTTTTTTTCCCGTTACTCTGTATGAGTGTTGCACTACGCAGATATTTGTGTGGATCAATTCCTTGCTTTCCAAAGCAAACTTTAAGGAAAGGATAATGCTTTAATGTGAATGAGTAAACACTAAAGATGAAAGAGAATCACTTGTCTAAGCTCATACTGCAGTCTTCCTTCCCTTCCCCCTTTCTTCCTCTTTCTTGGAGATAGAGTGGGTTTATTGGTTTAATTTTTCTCTTTTTCTGGGATGATGGGTAAGGCTTTGTTGTTTTAATTAGCACAGAGGAACTCCTCAAACTCCCTGAATCTCATTTCAGGAACTGTGTGAAGGAGAAGGAAGTCTATTACCAGATATGTTTGCTCCCCCAGGTGTCCAGATGTGGTCCTCAAAGTCTTGGATTTTTTTTACTTCAGGTTAGTTTTGTGATGGAGACAGTGTTGAAGTCTCATTGTGATGAACAGCACCCCCAAGAGGCTGAAGAATTGCAGAGGAAGCAGGAGCAGAACAAGCAGCTTTCAGGTATGTGCTAAAACAGGGACCACTAATATTACTTTTTGTTGCTGGCATGCTTTCTCACTTCAAGGACTGTCAGGAGCAATATACTGTTTGTATATGGTCCTATTGTATAAAGAATTTGTGAAATGAAAACTCTTGAGGTTGCTTTTGTTCTTAAGCTTTTTAAGCTTTAAGCAGTAGTTGTCACAATTTGCTGGCCCCATTATTTATTTATTACAGAATATGTTACAAGAAGATACTTGTACACCAAGAAGGCAGTCCTTGAAAATAAAATTCTCTGACCAGACAAGTGCACAAAGTTAATATTTTGCCATTTACCCTATCCTAGCCAGCTTTGTACTTAAATATTTTTAGATATGATCATGTGCACAAAAATACTATTCTTACTCTTAGCAGAGAAGTTAGAGTACAAATATGTGCTCCTGTAGTGTTTGTGTTGCTGGTTTTTGGGTTTCTTTGTGAGTGTACTTAAATCTAGGCTTTCTGTGCACAAACATGATCCTTGTTCAATAACTGTGAATAGTCAGCCAGTTTATAAGTAACGATTACTACTTTTGGTAGAAATAGGTAGTTAGCTTTGGCAGTCCTCTACACATCTATGTTCTGAATTTAATAAAGTGATGCTAAATAACAATTTTCTCACTTCACTGTGGCACTACTTTTACGTTCTAGTAAGTACAGAAATGGCTATAAAATCTGCTCACAGAAAATACTGGATATTATTATTATACACTGATGGTACAGTGACTGTGTTTTTGATTTCATTTTGTTAATGGTTGGGCAAGCTCTATACCCTACTGGGGATTCAGGCCCAGAAGAGATCAGATGATGTTTATACTGCTATCTAGCCACAAGAACAATCCACGTTTGTTTTTAGGGCTTTTCAAGATTCTTTACATTAGACACTATGTCGAGTTAGTACATTCTCTTGGTGCTTTGGGCAGGTGTGTTCCTTTGCGTAGGATTTGCAGTCTGTGTCACCCAGCTGTATGTGCTTTGATAGCATTGAACTTTGTCCAGGCAGAGATCTGAATCCAGTGTTAGGCGAAGCTGAGTAGTTGATAGGTTCTGTAGCAGTTATTGAGAGAGCTTTTCATTACTGTTAGTATCTACCTTAGAACTGTTAGACTCGCGGCACAGAACAAACCAAAACCTGATACGGTACGGAAAGTAGAAATCTACTAGGTTGTAAAGACTTAAAAGATTTATCTGTATTTGAGTCCTTGTGGGACTTTCTGCTTTTTGCCAGAGTTAAGAAATCCTTTTTCTCAACCAAGCAACTTTACTGAAGAAATTCCAGGGTGACGTTTTATGTAGTAAACTACTGTTATTATATTTTTGAAGTAAAGACTAAAACTTAACTCTCAATAGTCAGAGCAAGATGCAAGCATTGGAACAAAACTGAACTTTCTTTATTTGGAGCAGGTTACACAGTAATCTAGTTCCAAACAAAATTGTTCCAACAGAGCTATCAGTTATGTCACTATTGAAAACAATTTTCTGGCTCTGTCCTGTGGCAAATGGCCTCTTTGGATGAAGTTTTGTAGGATGTTTCAGAACCTAGTAAAAGGACCATCTTCCTGGGCGCAGAGGGCTATGTCTTTGAGTGATGCATTATTCTGTGCATTATTTCTGTGTTGTTAAATTGTTTATGATACTGTTACATGATTTCATCTCTTACTGTCTTTGATTATTGCTGGGGAAAGGGAACATGATATAAATAACAGCCCTTGCTGTATTTATCTAGAAAATGAGACAAACATGAATTATATTATTTGAAAAACATAGTATCTTCTGAATTACTAATATCTCATTACTGGCAAAGTGATCTGATTAACTCACTGGCAGCCAGAATTATGCCATCCATAATGCTACTTGGAAACATGATTATAAATAAATATTTTGAAGAGAGAAGCAGAACAAGAGAGAGAATTTGGAAGGAAAATGTGGCATGGGGTTTTTTTGTTTGCTTTTTAACTATTTGTTCCCAGAAGGAATCTCATATTTTCTTAACTGAAAGGTAAGAAATGCTGTGTAGTCAAGTTAGCCTATATATGTCAATTTGCACTGAAAATTCTTGTAATAACATTTTAAATGCATATCTGAAGATTTCAGAAAGCTTTCTTGAGTGTCTTAGTTTTTTATGTGATAACTGAGCATTTATGTAAGATGTTGACATTACTGTACATACAATAACTGCAAATATTTTTTAACGATAAACCTTTTTTTACCAAAAATTATTTTTAGTGACAAAACAAGTATTACAAAAATCAAATTTATTCATAAAGTTCTGAATATTTGGGCAACATGAATGCTATTATTGCAAAAGATGCTACATAGTAACTTTTCGAACTTTTGGTGTTATTTTCAACAACTTTGAACAAAAACTTTGACTATGTTGACAGAAAAATTAAGCAATTCCTCAAATTTTCAGTTCCCTGCTTCTCAAGGTGTTTAGCTTAATTTGGCTCTTAAAATTTATGAATCACCAGAATGGCTGTACAGTTGACCCGTTTTTCTTAGTGTTTTGCTTCATCGATTATTAGACTCTAGGTACAAGTCTGGTCATTTAATCCTAGAATATTTAAATATGATTCCAAACAGAACTGATAAACCTTTTACTTGTATCTGTTAATCAGGGCAGTATCTTTAATGAGTATTAGTGAGTTTAGTGTGTAATCTAGGATTTTTTCATTCTTGAAATAACTCTACAAAAATGACCTAAAGTAACTTGGAGAAGCAGATGGAACAACTTACTGAAAAAGAATGAGTAAATGAATAGTAAGATGGGTGGCAGGTTTCAGGATTTTAGAAGTATTTTTAGTATGTTGGTTTGTATAAGCATTTGAAGTAACTTTCAATTCTAATTTATTTTCTAACTGCAACTTAAAGTACAACTAACTTCTTGGGCTCTTAATAGAAAGGAAAGATTCTTTAGGTACACCTCAGATTTTTGTTGATGTATGAAGTGAGTCAATATACATGGCTGGGGATTTCTACTAGTCTATATTTTTGTTTCTAGCATATCAGGGATATTTTGAAAATAATTCTCATTACTCATGACTTATTGTCCTTGTAAAACATAGTACATTTTCATGTTTGCAATACAACTTACATATTTCTGTAAAATTGGATGTTTTTTATTCATTTTTAGGATATGAGATGTATATGCATGATTTCTCCATTTTATTGACTTTCCAAATATCAGTTTGAGACTACATCTGTGTCATAAAATATTTCTTACCCTTACAGAAATTAGTCACAGCCTCTACATACTTTTGAATCAATGACTTTTCCACACTCTGAAACAGATGTAGATTTAAGAGCCTGGTTATTGTGCTGTGAATATCACTTGATCTTAAGTTTTAATTTTTTAATCTTTAAATGTGTGTTTGCAGTAATGTATTTTTGTACTGTATAGTTCAGCAACAAATGTATTAGTTTCATGTTTTGTGGCCTGGATCTTTTAATATGTTGTGGTATCAAATGGGAGTTACTCTCTCAACTTCGAAAGAAGTGAATTCTAATGCAGGGTATAGAGAATACTTAAATTATAAGGATTCATAAATTGAGTGGAAAATCACATAATTTCAGCAAGAATAGCGTACAACATCCTTGTCATGCCATCTAGTGACTGCAGTACAAAATGCAACAACTTAAATGCAGCAAACATGTTCTTTGGTATTTACTAGTTCAAGTAAGAGGGTAATCATGTATGAGATTGTGTTACTTACATTGTTAATCCTTGATGTGCATCCCATGGATGTGCTCTTGTGCTTTCAGAAACAATTATTATAGTTTTCTCTCTTATGAAATTGACATTACAAGGCTTATGAAAACTTATATCAATGAGCTGTAATCTGAAATCTTTAGCTAAAGACATTTTTTCTCTCTCAGGAACTTGGAATGGGGGAGGTGGCAGAAAAGTAAAACTTATCAAAATACAGCAGCATACAAATGTGTGATGAAGAATATCATCATCAAGTATGCAGATAATAATGTCAGCAGGGATAGATACCCCTCTGCTATTTCTTTCTTCCATTTATGAATCTGCATTTCTATGAGTTAGTGTAATTTATTTTCTGAAATATACCTCAGATATTGAATCAAGCAACATAATTTCTAACGTGTTTTCCCCCTTTTTTCCACACCAGGAATAAAAAAAGACATTGAAAAACTTTATGAAGCAGTGCCACAGCTTGTAAACGTGTTCAAAATTAAGGAAAAAATTGGAGAAGGTAAATGTCTTATTTTACCTTGCTTAAACTTGCATTTCTTCTGGTGTTTATAACTTAAAGGTATAAAGCTAAGATCCCAATATATGCAATTTAAATCAGGTGCTTTATTGATTAACTTACGAAGTATGTAGGAGTTCTAATGTGCTCTTATACATATAGGTGCTTTAATTAGGGAAACTTTCAAGAGATTTTCTTGAAATTTCAGTATATTAATGTTTGACCTGAACAGTTTTCCAGTTCTGACAACTAAAATTTTTTAGGGTAAATTCAGGCAATATGTCTTAAGATGTATTTCTTTTTTTTTTTTTTTTTTAATATGGGAAATATAATAATATGCAGCTGTGTTCTGACATATTTAACTATTGTTCTTTAAGTTGGCTTTGTTTCCACTGAAACCTCATGGGCAGAACTAGAGAAGAGTGGAAGATTATAGTGCTTTAGTTCAGAAAATATTTTTAGACATACAGTGTCAGTTTCTCACTTGCGTACTCCTGACATTCAGCAGGCCTTGTTACAGATACTTTTAATTAACGTTACACATGAGTATAAATAGATTCTTAGGTGCTTCTAAGTGTGGGACTTAGGTACTCTTTGGAACTTTGCCCACTTGATCTTTAAAATGTTTTGTAGCACTCTGCACTTTAAATGAACAAAAACGTTAATGAGAGGCTGGATTGTTTTATAGCTGCTTTTGATGGAATACCTGTGACAGCAAACTAAATGGCTGGAAGTTTTTTGTCCCTTAAAATGTATATATACGTATTTAAAAGATATAATATAAAAATAAAAGCTCCATTCAGCACAATGATCCAAAATTCCAAAAGACTGGAGTTCTCATAAGGTAGTGTAATTAAAGTAAGTCTCTAACCATGAACAGTGCTTTTGATTTCTGTTCTTGGGAGCAAATGTTGCTTTGAGAAACACCATCAGCAGTTCTGCAGCATTATGTGAGGAGTAGGATTCCATTCAGAGATCAATTTCTTTTAGCAGGTCTCACCACCAAAAATAAGGTCTTGGATCAACTCAGTAACCCCTGTTGCTATGAACAATTCTACTCAATTGATGAGACGCTGGCTTTTATGCAACTGCAAAAACTGTTTAATGTTTGCTGGCATTTTGATGTATGTGTTCCCTTACAGACTGTTAAACCAGCATCATGCAAACACAACACCTAAAATATAATCAAAATTGTACTGTTTATTCATGTGGAAGGACCCTTAACTTGTATGTTCGGATATCTCAGATCACTAGGATAAATTAACCTGCTCAGTGGTTTATAAGAGCCTCCTAAAAACTGTAATATAGGTGGGTAAGTTTATTGCATAGCCTGAGTACTCCCTTTTCCAAATAAGTCTATCACATTTTGTCTGCGTAATGCTGGGGGAAAACAAATAGTAAAGTTACACACCATGTGAGAACTGCTACTTTATAGATATGGTAACCGAATTAAGGAAAATGTAGTGAATTCAGAAGTGCTTTGAATAGCAAAGATAGTGCTTTCCAGATTAGCATTAAATAGTCCGCTTACATTGCAGGGAGAGAAGAGTTAGATGTCAGATGAAAGTAAGCTACCTGAACAAGAAAGCAAATCAAAGATAGGAGTTTTACATTCAAAGAGCTCTATGTCCCAGGCAAGTTAGACAGTGTTACATTTGCGTTTTCACTGACGTAAAAGACTTGTATACAAGATCACTGAATTTAGTAGTGGAAAAAAAGAACTGCATTCTTCTCTTCTGGAATCTGCTTTTGAGATAGCATCAGGTATGCTACAGGACTGTGAACTGATCACTCCTGTAAAAATATTAATTGACCTAATGAAAAATGCTGAAGAGAACATTTTCCCCTTTCTGTACAGGTACTTTTAGTTCTGTTTACTTGGCCACAGCACAGTTACAAACAGGATATGAGGAAAAGATGGCTCTGAAGCACTTGATTCCAACCAGCCACCCTCTGCGAATTGCTGCAGAACTTCAGTGTCTCACGGTAGCAGGGTACATAAGCAAGAACTTATGGATGTTGTGACTAAACTGCTGAGCATTGTTTGACTGTTTTGCTGCTTGCCTTTTTTTGTTTTTGGTTTTTTTTTAAGTTTTGGTACTTTACTGCCTTTTTTAAAGCACAAAAATGTCTATTCTTTATAGGAAGAGCAAATAAAAAATGGATGTCTTACCGATAATGGATGTCCTTTTCTGCTAATTTCAAGTTTACACATAGTGCTGTTATTTTCCATCTGAGAAGTTCTGTCATGTACCTATGCAATAACAAATATTCCAATTCTGAAATGCTTGGAAAAAAATAATCTCTTCATCAGAAAATACAGTTTTAGGAATGAATGCATATTGCCAGAGCGTGCTGATGACAAGGCATGTGGTTTGAATACCACCTTCTTAAACTAGCTGATACCGTGAAAATTAGGTCCTACATCTAAACACAGTCCTAACCACAACCTGTGGCCCCACAGATGATCTGTGGAGCCCTCAATGCAAATTGCAGAACTAAAAGGGAACATAATGAGATGACAACAATGTAAATACTGACTGCTGCAAGGATTGCTGTTTAAAAGAAAGCATGACTGAAGTTTATAAGAAATACAGGAAAACAAGCATCCATTTTTTGGTCTTTATTCAATGACATTACTTTTCTTTCAGGGGACAGGATAATGTTATGGGAGTTAAATACTGCTTTAGGAAAAATGATCATGTGGTTATTGTTATGCCATATCTGGAACATGAATCCTTCTTGGTAAGTCCCAGACTTCTTATACTTGTAGTAAAACGTTTTAATTAAAAACAGTTGCATAACTGCAGTATCCAAATAATCTTTCAGGACATTCTGAATTCTCTTTCCTTTGAAGAAGTGAGAGAATACATGTTTAATCTGTTTAAAGCATTGAGGCGCATTCATCACTTTGGTATTGTTCACCGTGACGTCAAGCCCAGTAACTTCCTCTACAACAGGCGGCTAAAAGAGTAAGTCTGCCCAGATGACTGTATTGTGATCTCATTTGGGAATGTGTGCCTTGGCAGAACAGAGTAAATTAGCTATTGGGTTTTTTCCTTCCAGCTGCATAACATGTGCTTAAGTAATAAAGCTGAAAAAGACACTTTTTCTTTGTAGAACTTTTCTTTCTGTGTTTGGGGTGGGAAAGAATTATTTTTCTTCATGTTTAATGTAATATCTGCATTACAGTGAAAAGTGCTTGAAAAAATCAAATTTTTACTATTGAGTAGAAATGCTAAACTTTGATTAAGAATGAGGAGAATAATATTTGTTTGAATAAAGCTAATAGTGACTCATGTGGTGCGTAGATTGATACTTAAACTTTTATTCATGCATACAGCAAAACTGCTACAAATGACTGCTGAATTTGGACTTTTTTCACCTTATATTGAATTAATTTTTAAAACTAGTGGGTTTTTTTTTCCTTGCAAGTTAAACATTTCAAGACTGTAAAAAGCAAAGTACTGCTTTGTTCTGAGCTGAGATAGATAGAATAAGGTAATGTTTCAGTGTTAGTCCTATAGCTGTACTGGTGAGTATTTCACTGTTTAGTGAAAGTTTGTAGGGGAAACTAGACTTTTTTTTTTTAAAGCCACAAGCTTAAAACTTCAAAAATAATGCTTTTTATCTGTCAGAATGAGTTCCTACTATATCATTTGTCTGCTTTGCCAGCATTTGTTTAAGATTTAAGCCCTACTTCGGAGGTAGTGGCCATGGAGTTGAGTTTGCGTGAGACCCAGAGACAGCTGGATTGTCTCTGTACTGGTTTTAAAAAACTTTATCTTGTAAATGACAACTCTGAAATGCAAACTGTTTGGAGCCTCAAGTAAATTGCAGTAGTACTGCTTGAAGTTGGGTAAAGCTCTCAGCATTGTTATATTCTCTGTCTTCACTACTGCATTTGAGCATGGGAATCCTGCAAGAGTCAAGTCACTTGTACTTGGCTGTTTGCTGAGGTAGTTCTGAGCGGTAAGACTAGAAGGACCCAGAAAGAACCTGCTGGAAATAGTTTTTATCGCCATCACTGGAGAAAGTATACATGTTAGGAGATTTCATGACAAGAAACGATGAAGTAAGATAGGTATAGGATAAAAACATTGAGGGATCAGTAAGATATGTCAAAAGGAGGAGGAAAACAGGACAGTGATGCTGCAAACTAGAGATAAGCAATGTACTGAGTAAAATGTGGGGAAAAGATGAGTAAATAAGTAATGAATAGTGAATAAAATTGATTAAAATTGATTAAAATTTTGTGAATCCTAATCCTAAATTTGTGTCTTTTAGGTATGCCTTGGTAGATTTTGGCTTGGCACAAGGAACACCTGATACGAAAATTGAACTTCTCAAAACCACCCAGTCTGAAGGCCAGCAGGGAAGTTGCTTGCAAAATAATCCCATCGTAGCCTTGGGAAATGAGGTTTCTGTCAGTGTCACAGCACCTAAACAGATAGCTCAACAGTCAGCCTCGAAAGCATCTGATAAAAGGTCCAGCTCACTTTCAAAAATACAGAGTAAACAAGGAAGAGGAGGAAAGGTTCTCAGTCTTTTTCATTAATATTGTTGTATGTTTAATGTATTACTTCACCCAACAGGGGGAGATGTAATACTTGAAGAAAAGTTGTGTATGTGTATCTTGCAAGAAATGATGCACAGAAACAGTTTTCACGTAGGGGTTACTAGTTTTGTGTAATACTGTTTTTGGCATCATTCAGTATCTGTTAGTTATAATACAGTGTTGCAGGCTGTATGAAATCCTAGCGTGGATTACTATTTAGACAGCCCTAAATCTTCTTTGAAACGCTAATATTTTAGTGACTTGTAGTGTGGAACTCCTCCCCAACCCAATAATTCATCTACGTTTGGTTACTTAGTTGCATAACAAATGCAGTACCGATGACATTCAGATCATCTTGGGGCACTTCTGAGGTGTGATTTGTTTTGTAAGCATGTTTGCTGTTCTGTCTAGACAATGTTTTCTTCATCCACAGTAAACTGATGCCTGAAAATGACTTACCGTGCAGCTGTTCTTGTTTTATGTCACTTCACACTGCTTTTTGGAACTGTCAGAATCCAGCTGACATTGTGTAAGATAGGATCCTTATTGTCCTTTTTTTGGTGTTGTAGGAGGATTCTGTGCACCATTCTGTTCAGCGCTCTGTCTTTGGAGAGAGGAATTTCAATGTCTCTAGTTCCACATACCAGGAGAACTCCAGTACAAAAGTAAGAATTATGACTCATCAGTGAAAGCAATCAATCAGTTTCATATTTGAGAAGTTATATAAGTAATTAGTTCTTAAGACTGGACACTACTTGCGTATCCTGTGGAACTAAAAGTTTTTGAGCAGAAAGTTAAGTGAGCCTTTGCTGAAAGGCTTGAAGAATTTTTTTGTTTCTGTTTCAGTCCTTTTTGAAGCTCTTCAGGAGCTACTTATATAGCTGTCTTCCTAGCTGATCTTGTTTGTATGTTAATTAATGTATTTTTATACACAGGTATCTGTGTAATTGAGATACATCTAAGCATATCTTGTGAAGCTTCCTTTTTATTCAGCAGTTAAAGCAAGAGAGAAAATAAATTTGTAATGAACATTTTCCTATACTCTTTATAATTGGAATTTAATGTGAGAACAAGACGGGGGGGAAACCCCAACTAAATTAGGGGGTTTAGCCCCTAATTTTTGTAGAACTAGATTTTTATTGTGGAATTAGAGTTAGCTGCCAGTGTGTTGCTACAGTATTTCATAATTCTTTTTTTTTTTTTCCCATGTTTGAACTAAAAGAATTCTGAAACCCCTATAAAGGCTTGAAAAACACAAATCATGTTGTAGCTTCAGAAAATCTAATGGCTACTGATGTTTAGTAACCAGTGAAAAATAGTTTCCAAAGGAGGAGGAGGAAAATCAGGGTATTTATAAAACTCCAGTATGTATTCTGTAGAAGTTGTGGTATTGTTAGAAAAGTTTGCTGTCATTTAAGACTGCAGTTTGTGGCTGGGGAGCCCTTTTTCAGTCTTATTATTTTAGGGACTTGCATAAATAGAAAGGGAAGCTGCTTAAATATTTCACTTACTCTAAAATATCTATATTGCAGCTCATAAAGCAATCGAAGATGATAGATGTTTCATCTAGGAAGTTAGTAACCAAGAAGAAGATTATTTCTACCAAAACAGTAAGCAGTGGGGTAGCCAGAAAAGCTGCCAGTGGTTGTCCATCAAACCTGGCCTGTGACTGTTATGCAACGGATAGAGTTTGCAGCATTTGCCTTTCAAGGTAATTTGCTTTGATACTGTTGTAAAATTGTCTGTTATGCCGTCAAGCAAGGTTAGCAACTTAGATTTACTAGATAGCTGATTTAGTAGGTGAAAGATAACATTTGATCTGTGCAACCCTTAAAACACTTGAGTATGCTCTTTTTAAATAAACATAGTTCATGGAATTCATGGAATAATTGGTTGAGTGCTATCTACTGCAAAGAGATTATTGACTATTAATACTTTTTTCATTATTTTAATTATCCACCTACCTGTGGTAATTAACTCAAGTGACTTGCTACAACACACTTAGAGTAGACCATGCATCTGTCTTTTATCTGTTAGTTATCTAATAGGCCTAAATCATGCCAACTAGATAGATTAAAGTTTAGCGATCAGATTCCTGCTCTCTGAGAACTTACGTTAAAAAGATTTCTCAGAAGCTGTTTTTGTTCCAGAAATCAAGAAAGATGACACTTTATTTCTTAATTTAAGCAACAGTGTTTAAACTTTTATAGCAGACATCAAAGAATCTGAATAACTCAATTCAAATTATCTCTCTGCAGTTATTTTTGATTATGATCATCTATTGTCCATGACTGTCACATTAGGGAACGTAGATTAATGCAGAGAATTCTGCTTACTAGGAATAGTTATGAAACTGTGTGGTCCCTCTCCTCAAACTGCCAAAATATGGCGATATCAAACATTCCTCATGTCGGATACTTATGAAAATTTGACTGAAACCAGAATTGGCCCATAGAAGTAAGGCACTTAATATATACAAGATGGCTCTGGAAAGGTGGTTGTTTGTTTGTTTTATTTTTTAGTAGTAATAATCTCGCACCTTTAGTTAAGCTAACTAAAATTTAAATTCTTATCAACACTTGCACTCAGAAGTAACAAACCTTAGTTTGCTGTGGATTAATAAAAAACCAGAACATCCACCCCAAGAGCATTTTTTGCCTTCAGTTATTTAGTTTTAACTTTATAGTTTCCTGTGAATACAAGCCTTTAGCAAAAATTATGCTGCCCTTGAATGAAACTAAAATTGACTTTACCGAAGTGTGCAGTAAGTATTTGTGTGGTTTTACCTTATGCTAGATAATATAATAATATACCAATATGATAATAACAGGGCTGTTACCATATGCTAGATAGTATTTATGATAGATAATTTTAACATACTTAAAGCCTCTATAAAACCTTAATAAGGCAAGATTAAGCTGTTTATGCATCTTGCAGAAGTATGTTCTAAAAATAATTTTTAACATTATTATAACTTATTTATCAATTTTTATGTTCTAAACATATTTTCCTCTCTTATTACAAGGCGTCAGCAAGTTGCTCCAAGGGCAGGAACACCTGGATTCAGAGCACCAGAAGTATTAACAAAGTGTCCCACTCAGACACCAGGAACTGCATGTCAGACTGCCTTTTTTTTTTTTTTTTTTTTTTAAAAAAAACCTTTCAATCCTACTCATTTGTTCATACTATGTTGCCATTTTTTATGGGAGGTTTTTTCTGCTTACATATGAAGTTCATTTTATCGTACTCTCTAACACTGTTCAAACATTTCCTGTTTTGTTTTTTATTAAATGTTCATTATTCAGAGTAAGAAGAAATTAAGAATATTTTTCCTGTTTTTGAAATTTGAATAAATCTTTATCTGAGGGTTAGTGCCATAAACAGGAGTTCAGTAGCATGTGTTTTTAAAAGTAAACAAAGTGTAAGTTTTATCAAGCTTCTTGGCTTTGTCAAATGAAAAATCTTGAATAAAGTAGTTGGGGAGGGAAACAACATTAGAGTTTTCTAGACAGATTGTCATATACAGTTTGCTTTTATAGCAGGTATAATTAACGCTATGATTGCAAATGTGTTTTTAAGAGAGTTGGTTAATCAATACCACTTATCAGATTACTTCTCCTTCTTACTAGTGCTATAAAAAGTTGGTATGTAAATTCTATAACTCTTTCTTACTAAGATTTTAACTTTTATCAAGTAAGTTTCAGTAGCCTGTTAAATTTCAGAGCAAAAAGGTAGTTAATGTATTGATGCAACTGAGATGGGAGAGGCTGTGCCTATCTGGAGAACGGAGGACCAAGTTAACTATTAAACATTTGATATATGACCAGGAGTTTTGACATATGAAAAAGGGGATTAAATGCAAATGTCTTCAAAAAGTGAATTTAAAATAATGGTTTCCATCCATTTTTTGCTGAATACCTTTTGGGTAAATTGCCAATTTTCAGTGCTTAATTTAAACTGTATATACACATTCAGAATAGGGTAACTATGCATTTGATCAGCACATCCCCAGATAGTTGAATGTTTTTTGAAAAAACATCCGTGCTGTGGGCATGACTGGGATTTCAAGACGTATGGCAGCCTGTTTGGAGTTATTGTGCCTGTGCTATAACAGCCAACTCCATGGGCTAGAAGACATCCAGAAATCCAGGACAAATTTAGACGATCTCTAAATCTGTCTAGACAGAATTCAAGCAGAAAGAAGACATACCTAGGAAATTTTAGACACATGGTAGTCTTAAATATGCTTTCAGCCAGTTTTCTGTTCTCTAGGGTAATAGAGAACAGGATTACAGAAAATCTGGGTAAGTCAAGACAGACACCCCTAACAGCGCAGAAGCTCTGCACCACTGACTCAGTGCTGTGTCAGCAGAGGGCTTAATTAGAATATTGTACAGTGATGCTAATATTTATGAGATTATGTTGTATTTGAGCTAACAAATGTCTTTGCCCACATCCACCTGGGACTGCTGTAGTCACCTGCTTGTACTTCTACCAGTTTTGCTACTGGTTCTGGTCTGTGTACCGAGACCAAGTTACCAGCTGGATCCAGCTGACTATCCAGAGCCACTTCTAATAAGTCTGTCCCAGGTTCACAGTGAGGGAACACAACCCACGCTCCCAAGCTGGCCTGACACAGCACCAGGTTCAGGTCTAGCTTGGGTTGCCCCCCCTCACACTGCCTTATAAATGAGTGTGCCTCAGTAGTTAGATACCACTAGACTAAAGCACAGAGAGGAATCATAATTTTGAGATCTTTGCACAGGATCTCGGAGTCTCCTATTGATCCCAGCCCTACCAGAACTGTAGAGCCAGGATTTACCATTCAAGGTATATAATGTCTGTTAATTTCAGCAAGAGTTAGGCAATTAAACAATGTCAAAGGTCTTGACCTTAATGTTTCTGGCTCTACTTTTCCAGCAACGTAATAGGGATAATACATAATGCCTCAAAAAGATAGTATGATCTGCTCAACAGTGATACACTGCTAACATTTTTAACAGGCACTATGAAAATGCAAAATTCTTGCACTGCAAATTGTGTCCATAATTAGCTTGGATTTATTTTTAATAAAATTTAAACTCTGTTTTTGCAGTTGAAGTCAACTTAGCACTTGTTTTCAGAGTCCTGTGCTGAGAGGCTCTCTAGCTATAATGTGCAAATTAATTATTGCCTATATTTTGAAGAGAAATAACTGTGGCTTTATTTTCCAGCTGTTAATTTTTCTCTTTAGAGTTTCAGAGAATTCTGTCTTTCACTTTCCTTGCCATCTCTCAAAACGTGCGAACTAGTGAGCCAAAAAATTATGGCAGACAGGTATTTTCATAACTTTTAATACTGAAAGTTTCCATCATGCTTTGGCTTCTTGCCCCAGAGTACTCTCTGTACTCTTCATAAAGCAATGAAAGTGATGAATAACTTCTCACTATTACAGTTCTTAAACTGGCTATCTTGTCAAGTGATTTCAAGTGAGGGGAACAAAGTCTGTAACAACATAAACTTTTTAGTACTGCCTAATTGGCAGCCTCAGTCCCAGAAAATTAAGATTCACATTCATTTGCAAGTGATTTTTATGGTCTTAGTGTAAGCTTTTCTTCAGCTGAAGCAAACTTAAATAAGCATTAAAACTAGCCACTTCAACTACTCCATAGTTCCCTACTTGTGAAAGGGTTAATCTCTGTTTAAAACAAACCCAACATTGTTTGGTGCATTTTTTTTTTTTTTTAAGTTTAGCAAGTTAATGGAATTACTCATGTGAGTAATTCTATGGAAAAGTTTAAATATTTCCTCTGCATCAAAGCAGGAAATTATTTTTATATCTAATTATAGCAATTTCCACTGTTTGTAGAAGTGTTATCTATGTGACCAAAGTCAGTAAGTAATTCAGAATATTACTTTCTCTGATAGCAACTTTTCTGGTCATAATTTCTTTTGAAAGAAAGCTGTGAATTTATTTGTGATGAAGTTGTGAGTTTGTTTATTACTAAGTTTGCTTTCAATTGCAGCAATTGACATGTGGTCTGCAGGAATTGTATTCCTTTCTCTGCTCAGTGGACGGTATCCATTTTACAAAGCAAGTGATGATTTAACTGCTTTGGCACAAATAATGACAGTTCGTGGATCCAGAGAAACCATTCAGGCTGCTAAAACTTTTGGTATGTGAAACTTCATTATGGGGGGAAAGGGGAAAATGTATGCTTGGTCTGCTATTTAATACAGCGACTTGCAATTTATTTTTTTAAAGTAAATTTTTAAGCCTTGAGAGTCACTTTAGAGGTGCATGTAATACTTCCAACAGTTAGTACTAATCTAGAAATGCAGGAATTAAATTTTTATTTTTCTACCCTTTATAATTTGTCATGTATGTGGTGTACCTCACTCCATAGGTTTGCCAACCTGACTGTGTACTGTCTTTCACTAAATCAGGGCCACTTGAGGTGAAATATGCCAACTGATGATTTCTATTGGAATTGGTTAGAATTCTTGAGGTAATGTTTCTATTCCTGCAAAACTTGCCCAGGAGTCTTAACTCAATATGATTTAATATTTAGATGATGTAAACCTCAGGGTTTTTCCCCTGAATGCAGGCTTGTTGTGTTGTGTGTGTGTTTTTTTTTTTTTTTTTTTTTTAACTGAAATAATCATTCCCCTAATTGTTTGCAAGCCAAATGTAGCAGCACTTGATACCTAACAGCATAACTGACAGCATTAATTTTCATTCTCCAAACAGATACTTAAATCAGTAATGTAAGTAATAAACTGCACTGGGTATTTAATTTTCTTCAGTTCTAGTCATATGACAGTAGAATGGAAAAAGATGCTGGTAGGGTGGTGACAACAGGTCACTACAGAATTTCATGAACAAACCCAAACAAACAGCTTTACGGTTTACTTCACAGCAGAACTGAGACTATATCCTTCTGGCTTCACTTGCTGGAAACAATGAGAAATGGGGCCATTGCTGTAAAACATGGCTTTTTTTGTGTGTGTTGTGTTGGGGGTGGGGTGTGGGTGGTTGTGTGTGGGGTTGGGTGTGGGTTTTTTTTTTTTTTTTTTTTACTCATGTCAGTTATGCCTCAAGAGTATTGATGAAATGTCTCTGAAACAAAACTTGGAAGTTATAGTTGCATATTAAGCATAATAAAATGCTGTTTACTGTTTAAAAAAAATTTTTTTTTTTTAGGTAAATCAGTTCTGTGTACCCAAGATGTGCCAGCACAAAACTTAAGAACCCTCTGTGAGAAGTTGAGAGGAACAAACAGCAGCTGTACCCGATCCAAGGATGATACGCACACCGATTCTGTAAATGACCTAGATTTGCCAGTTGAAACAGACAAACAATGTGCTCCGAAGACGCTCGGAAAAGAAATTCAACACATACAGAGCTGTCAGGAAAGTGATGGTGCTTTGGAAGTTAAGGCAACAGACATGAAAGGATGGGATCAGGTTCCTGATGATGCATATGACCTACTTGATAAGCTACTAGACTTAAACCCCGCAACAAGAATAACTGCGAAAGAGGCTTTGCTGCATCCTTTTTTTAAAGATATGAGACTTTGAGAAGATTCCATATTCTATTATTGCTTTGATACGTTTTTATGTGTAAATGAGATACTGAAGTAGTTGAATTTACCTTGTTGCCTTTAACATTAACACTCAGTGAAATGCCATTATACTGTGCACAGAACTACTGAACTCCATCTCGTACAGTTGGACTGCAAATGTAAGTTCACTTAAAGAAATACTTGCAGATGTAAATACTACCTACACATTACTAGCATGGTCTTATCCTAAGGTGCTTTTGAGGTGTTATTACTGTGCATTACCTGTTCTGTGAGAAAATTAATGTTGATCAAAAATTACACAGAAGAGCTTTATAAGCTCTGAGTTTATGTCTCAAGATAGTCTGGTAAAATTTACAAACTTGCCTTAAGGTATGACTGAAATGAGAAAAGTGCTTCAGAGACTTTTTTCCATACTTCTATATCTTTGCTTTGTTCTGGATCAATGCATCAGAGACTAGAAAAAGAACAAAGAGCGTTAAGTTTGTTCAGACTGTTTTCAGTGAACAGTTTTACTTCAGGAGTGTTGCTAGCAGAATGGCCAAGTAGTGGAGGTTGTATCATCAAAAGAAAAGCATAACTGTTTTAAAAGTAAATTTTTACCCATCCATATGTTTCCTACATAGGCAACAGTGATAAATGCAGTTACGCATTTTGCACAGCCCATATTTCCTCAGTGACACAGGGAACTGTCAGTATGCACCAACTACTGCCTGCAGACTGTCTCCTGTGACCTGTATAGGTGTCAATTTCTGTTACGGAAACTGATTTTCACAGAGCATCTGTTAAATAAAGGATTCGTTTTTATAACTTCAAAAGATTGTCTAGAGATGCTTGCATAAAAAGAAAATTAGTTGGGTAAGGGTTTCCCATGGGATGTTTCTGTTTAGGAAGAAATACATTGTCATGTAGATTTGTTTCCCACTGAAGTTCTTCAATGGTGGAAAACACTTTTCAGCTAGGTGTAGTGTATATGGCTGCTATAGTGGAAGTATCTTAATTATCAAGGAAGTCTTACCACAGGGTTAGAAGCTAGCTTATTGTCTGATCCTAAGTCAGAAAAACACTCAATAACTTCTAACCCATACTTTCACTGTGCAAGGCAAGTTATGTTATGTTCAGCAGTTACTTCTTTAAATATTCCTGATAACTTTGGGGGACTGAAATTTAATACAATGTCTTTCCATGTACATTTCTTAAAATGCTAATAGAGTTGCTGCTATAAAAGGTTACAAGACACTCTTCAAAAAGGTTGCTGCTTTGGTAACTTTTATAAAGCCTTCTCATATGCGCTGGTGATTATGACAGTGCAGAGATCCTCACCAGGGCTGTGACTGAAGAGCAATTATTTCAATATACTTAAAATCTTTAACATGTATAAAGTGAGGGTAATATTGCTCTGTTCCTGGCATCAGCTGTTAAAGAAAAATATTTGCAGATGTCAGAATATTGATTGCAGAAAATCTTGAAACCCACAAAACCCTGGGGCCCAGGTCTTAGTAATTTCTGCTGTTTATATAATTTCAACACAGCACGTCACTGAGAAATTATTTATCTAAAGGAACTGTGGCCAAATTTGGCAAGCGATTCTGTCTGCCAGTGTCTGCAGATGTATTGTTTCCTCCCACGTTCACTCATGCTGTCTATGGTCTTATGAGAGCACCAGCTGACAACAAGCAAAAATGTCAACTATCTATGGTGAACTTTCTAAACAACTTCAGCTTTCTTGCTAGTCACTGCACTGAGAAGCTCCTTGCAGCAAGCAGTGCAGTAATTAAGCGCTGCATAAATTTAATAGCCACGATAGAAAAATCATTGCTGATGGTGTTTCTAGCAAATTATTAAAGGAAAATAAAATTCTGTAAGAAGCAATTTTAAGCTCAGTATATTCAATAACAAATTACAGAATACATTGTTACTCCTTTTTCCAGAGAGCTATTTATTTAAAACCTGGAAAGCTTTTTTGGAAGATAAAGGGAAAAGAAATATATACTTGAATGAGCATATACCTAAAAAAAATTTGTAGCACTTTACAAAAGGATAAAAACCAGAAGTAAAACATTAAATGCAAAGGGATGTGCTGGGGGGAGGTGGGAATTAAGGGCTTTGATAAAAGGCTTGTTGGAAAACAGCAATAAAACAGTAGTGAGGAGCAGTAGTTGCCACTGATCTTTCTCCCTAACTCTCAAAGAGTTCTAACAGGTCTAAGAATGTCATAAAGCCATAGGTAAGAGGTAAGTACCAAGATTCCTTTAAACATTGCCAATGACATAAATTAAACTTTATAACATGAATGTGATTCTCCAACTATGATAGTTGCAATTAAAAGAAATTCTGTGCTGAAACAATATTGCTACAATACATGTTCAGCAGTTGGGAGGCCACAGCTGGATCACTGTTAGGTTCTAGACACCATGCTATGACAAGGATATTGATGACCTGGACAGAAGCCAAAAAAGGCTGGGGCAGAGTGGGGAGGGGGCATGGATATGGAAAGACCAAAAGAAACTGATAGGTAGAAGGCTGGGGGCAAATCTAAATACATCTGCGTATATAGCAGAGGGAAGACTAGGCAACTCATAGTAGTAAACAAGGCTAGATGAGGGAATTATGGCACACCTTAAGCTTATGGTATTTTTTTCCTAATTGTTAGTTGTATATGATGATTAAGAAACAGGGAGGCACCTTATTAAGAGGCCCGAAGGAGCATCAGCAAAACTGACAAAGATTTTTCTGGATAGTTCTGATGATAATGGATAAATGAAATTCTAAATCCTATTGAGTTTACAGTCCTATTACTGAGCTCCACCTCAAAAGCAAAGTGAAATGTTGAAGAGTTTATCAAAAACAAAATACTTTGTAAATAAGAAAAGAAATGGGAAGACAATATTCTATTTGAGAATATTAAGTATCCTTGTTATTTGATAGCTAGAGTTACATACTTCTTGCTCCCTGAAAAGCAGAAGTGATGCAGGACCTAGACACAGCTGATACTTCCTGTGCAAGTGAGTCTCCAGGGTCCTTTAGTTGCCTCTCAAAGACTTCAGAAGGCTATTTCATCTGTCACTGCAGCCCCAGGTGTGATGGGGTGCAAAAATATTAGCATAACTGCCCACTATCCAGCCAAGTTCCTAGGGTCAAGAGCTAGACTGAACCTGAAGGTGGATCATTAAAGAGAGTTTCTTTCATTCAACAGCTCCTCTGACATGGGCTATCTAGGAATGAATACATTGTGATTTTTGCAGAAATAAAAAGCACATGAAAGTTCATGGTGGGGTTTGTAACCTGCTCTGGCTACAGTGAAACTTATTATTGTAAAGATGATTGCAAAATTATTTCTTTTATGAAGAGGATTTATTTTCCTAGCATCCTTCTACCCATTATGTACTAATAGTCAGGAAAAAAAAAAAGTCTACAGAATAGCTCTCTTAATTGCCAACAACTATTCCCGAGACAAGTCCTTCTTCTGAACTAGATGACATTTTCAAAAGAAAGTGTTTGCTTTTAAAGGGGCACACCTGAAATTTTTCTAGGTGCTGGAGATGGAATGCATAAGATGATAGAGGTCAGAAAAAAAAAAACATTTAGAACAGAAACATTTTAAAGGAAATTAATACATTCTATAACTTCAAGAATTTTATTCTATAACCAAATAAAATTGTATCTTAGTTGGCAGACTGGTAGCAAGGACAGTTCCCCAAAACATTGCTCAAGCAGTGTTCTTTATGCTCTGTAGTTGCAAATGTGTGGGGGTTTTGTTTTGTTTTTAAAGCATGAATTGCTTTAAGTGAATTTTTCTGCTAACACAGCCACAGGATGCTCACTTCAAATTCATTTTGTACCCTTCCCAGAAAGTAGTACATGTACCAGGTCAGTGGCAGTACATATATGGCTCATGCTCCTTTCTAGAGCTGCATTCCTGGTTGGCCAGTTCAAAGGGTAGTAAATATTTAATTTGGCAGCCTGTGTGCAGTGGGTGGAAATCAGAGCCTCTCTGATTGTACACTTACAAAGGCTTGCATATAGAATTTTGTTATTCCAAAAATTTCTGGTACCACTGAGTTGAGGGTCCAATAAATTGGGCATTTTGCATTGGCCTACTAATAACACACTCTTCCTGAAACCCTTTTTTTCCCCCTGCAGCATTACAAGTGCTTTTTGTGAGAGGCTTCTCTGCAGAGATGCTGCAGTGCTGCTTGGTAAATGCCTCCTGGTATCATCAGAACATTGTCTATAGGTCATCAAGATACACAGTATCTTCACAGGTGTTATGATGCTATAAATGACAATGATAAATATAAAAAGGCAATTAGCACAAAGTAACGCTGTTCCTCTAATGAGTTATTGTACCATCGCAGGCTTTTGTGGGGTGCCTTGCCAGTCCTAGGTCAAAAGAGCCTGTTCTGTATTAGTGCAAGAGAGATTGCTTTTTGATGCACCACTTCAAGACTGAGAGGCAGGATTTAAAAGAAGTCTCAAGCTTGATAACATGTATTTTGCTATTTATCCAGAGATTCTTAATATATTCCCTAGTTAAGAATTTATTCAGAGTTCACTTAAAAGATATATGATTTGAACATGCTTTTTTTTAGAAAGGAACCATTTTAATATTCCATGCAGAGTTCACAGCACGTAGTGGATCTGATCTGCAAGCACTGGTTTTAGGCATTTTCTGGTGTGATGCCTGCTATTTTCAATTCCAATTTATAATTTGTAATGGTCTTCAAGCTATCCAAAGCAGTCAAAGTAACAGGAGGGTACAGCATAACTGAGATAACCAAGGGCTTTTACTGTGCCTCTCCATGACTCAGCACTTGTTCCTTCGACAGCCTTTTGACTCTGCAAAGCTGTTGTCCCCCTACAATGGTTTATTGTATTGTGTTGTGTTAAAAACTAACCAACATAAGCATTCCTGAGTATCCCAAGAGTATTGTTTATTCTGTTTCTGGAAAAAACTCGAATGCCCCTGTGGAGATAAGCCAGGGAAGAGGGTGGTTTTTTTACATGCTATTTGCTTTCTTGCATAAAGGTTTTCTGGTTTTCAGAAAAGTCAGATTTTAATCAAAGCCCTAGTTATACCTTTGTTTCAAAAATACTAGCACTGAAAAGCATATTTTCCAAAGGTATCCATTCAATAGTTTCCTTTCACATGGCATAATCTAAGCTATTTATAACAAATAACATATAATTAGTATGCCTTCAATGCAAAGGGTAGGGATGCAGCCTAAAAATTGGAATATTTGAAGAAAATTAATTAAGTTTATATAGGTTGGTCTAATGGATGCCACTGGTCATGTTTAACAAGAGACAACTCACTGATAAAATCTCTCCTGCACTTTTGATTTCTGTATTTCCTCTCACCATCTCGTCCAAAACCCCTAGCAAAGGATCAGATTCCCTGCACTCGGGGTTCCTGTAAGATATTTGTCCTTAATGATTTCCTTTACTGTTTTAAATGTTATTGTACATTATGTGCAAGTCAACCAACTATTTCTGTTTCCAGTTGCTGAGTCTTGAGTCCTGCTTCTGCTCTACTGTCCTTTTGCTTGTTTTGAATATTTCAGTCCTCCTTATCAAAACGCCTGACCTGAGCTCGGCAGTACAGGTAAGAAATGCCAGAATTCTTTTCTATCGTTTTGTCATTATCATCAGCACTTTCACTTTACTGAGCACCATTCTCGTCTTATCAGATCTGAGTATATTAGCTTTAAATGAAGGAGGAATTCTAACTTCTACTGAAAATCTTCCTATATGTCTGCACACCCATC